CACACTGATTTGTATCTTAATATGTGTTATGCCACAGCTAAATGTATTTTAAAAATATATTGTGAACACTTAGGCCATTTCGTTTGTTTTTAAATGACTAACTCAGATAATTCGTTTTTTCTCTTGGTTGCTCCAAAGAGATTTTCACTGTTCAATGGTTTCATTTCTCTTGAGCCCTAAAACTGGTTTCTCGTTTCTGTTAGTTGACTGTGTCCTATGTTATTTCCGAGTTGCCTTGTCAAGTTACATTATGGCATTTTGGTGTTTACATTGTGCTAATCTGTTATCCAAGTTGGTAGGTTTACTCACACTGCTTATTGGCATTTTCTAGAAATGCTTGCAAAGTTGTATCGTTCATTGAATCCCCACCATTTCTTACCTTCACTTCATTAACAAAACCCTGGGAGACCCAGATACTTGTCTTCATAGTGTTGTTACTAAATTTGTAGTTTGTTGAAATATAGTTTGCTTGTATTTTTGCTTTTAGCGATTCTTCGTCACATAAAAAGATATTTAAAGGCAATGCGAAATCAAATCTTGTTAGAGATTTCCAGTGATTCTACTATGTCATCTTAAGCGTGTTTGTGTTACCATGTTATCTTGTTTGTATGTTATTGTAAGGTGTAATTGTACAACGCTTCCGTCACAAATCTAAAAAAAAACTCGAAACACAGCCTATATGTAGATTAAGTGAATGTATAATGTCCTGGTGCAGTTTTAATTTTGTTCAAATGTCTAAGAACGTGGATTTCGTGTTAATGGTTCATAAAACAGTTGAATTAATTTTCACTACAGAACTTTTTTTCCGATTTTTACCGCAAAAATTCAAATCGCTTATTTCCCCCGAAGGTCTTGGCACACTACCAATGGAGATTTTGACTAGAGCAGCAATTATTTCCTAATCATTCTGTGGTTTTTATAATTTATCACTAAACTCATACACTGATTTAATGCTGGCTAATGGTTTGCTTCGTGAAACGTGGCGCCCGGTCTTATAATTCCTTTGTATTATTTTGAACAAAGAACAAGTTAATGTCTCCCACATAGTCCTAGGTTTTTAAACGAGTTTAGTTCAAGTAATAAATAATTATTTAAAACCGGTGATAGTTAACACAAGCACCATTTGTGGTTTACTTGAAGTCACTTATCCCATTTATAATTACCCAATCTGTCGCAATCAAAAGTTCTAATAACCTGTCAGGTAGGAATTTATTGACCAAGCCATCTTAGTTACTGGGAATGGCAACATTTCTAGTCATTCTGCTATATATGCCTTGCATCACACTGACCAGCTAATCGAAAATTGTATTCAAATAACGATTTTCTGTTTATCCGTGAGGATGCTGCTTTTGGCAGTAATCAAGCATACTTTTGGTAAGCAAACGCGCAAATCCGTTGTCTAACGTAAGCCTCAACTCCTAGTGTTAGGACAAAAACAGGATCTCGTGGAGAGAGCTTTTCACTGTCTCAGCTAAGGGACAAATTTCATATCAGTTCGTTTCTCAGTAGGCTTTTCGAAGTTGATGAAACAAGTCAAACAGCGAAACCAGCAGGCGTATCGAACACAAGCCTCTGAACTTCGAATTAAGTGCAAATTTTGAAGTAATTTTCGTGCAAATTAGACTCGATCCTAGTTGGTAAATTTGATTGGGTGATTAAAAATTACATGAAAAAAGTGCCAATGACATTTTCACCTAACAACAGCCGTGGATCATCCCAAGTCAATCTTGAAAATGTAGGAAATTTGCGAAACCTCGCAGCCGGTTTGTTCTACAAAACTGGGAACCCCTGTTTTGACAGACATCCTTTAGCGGGTGAGTTCTTCGTTTCATCCAAACAACCGAGTCTACATTTCTACTATTTGTTTGCGGGTGAATATCTTAAGTTATAGGGCCAACAAACAAGTTAAAGAATTAATAATTGGAGTAAAACTTGTCAAAGGTACTAGGCTAACTTGGACATATTTTCTAACAACAGGTTTGCTAAGTGAATCGAGCTACCAGGAGGCCAGAACATCCTGTGTGTTAAAAACGAACCAATTTTTGTGCTACTGAGATGCAGGAACAGGAAGATATTTGATAATAAGTTTGGAATAACTTAACACTGTTAAATTGGAGGATTGCATAGGTCAGTGTCCGACTTTCATGGAGGGTGAAAGTATGCTTTTTTGACTGTGTTGGTGTTCCTTTTGGTACCATTTTATCAAATATCTTCTTATAAATTCGTCGTGAATCAATATAACTTTAACAACGCACATTTAAACCAATTTGTGTGCGGGGTTAATGCTCAAAACGGAAATTGAAAAGCTACATTTTTGTCATGTCATGTTGTATCAGTCTAAAAAAGGAGGGTGTTGGAATCGCAACGAAAATATATTTACATCTTTCAAATGGATCATGTTCATGGTCCTGGGACTGTCACAAAGTAGTTTAATTAATTCCATGGTGGGGTCTTTTGTCTTATCGAAGGGCTTCTCATTAGCAATGAACTTATCTTGATAAGCACTGAAGAGGTTGGTGAGAGCCTAACTTCTGACATATCCACTAAAATTCACAATTCAAAGCGACTTAGACACGCCTGGGAACGCGAAATATGGGTTCCATTTGTTCTGACTGAACGGAACAAGACGAAGCGTGTTTCCTCGGCCAATTTTCTCCTCCCACCCCATCAGCAAACCGAATCTTTTTTCGACCAAGTCATAAGTGAAGGCGTAAAGCGGCTTGCGCAGAAGAACATTACCAGAAAACGCAACTGGAAGCGCTGAAGCTAAAAAGAATCCGTGGCTAAGGCTGAATCACGTCATCCACGGAGGGCGCTATTATATGTCTGGTGGGGCCTTTGCAGAGGACTTATTTTGCACGAGCTTCACAGAATCCACGGACGATTTTCTAATCACGTGTCAATAAAACCGACCTTTCTTGAATCAATCCACAACTGAAAGTGTGAAATGGCTTCTACACTAGAACCTGATAAGAAAGAGAAACTACCTGCATGTAAGCGCAGGACCAAAATCTATGACAAGTGTTGAATCACCCCATCCAGCGAAGGCGTTGTTAGGTGTCTGGTGGAGCAATTGCAGGGGGTTAATACATTGCACGAGCTTCTTCCACGGGGTCTGACAATGGCTGTGGAGGAGTACTATGCATAACCCACCAAGTTTAACGTTGAAATCCAAGCAGAACATACAAGTTGTGTCAACCGAAATGACAAAATCGTTTGCCGTTACAGCGCTATGCCACACGTCGCGCAGCAGACATGACAAAAACGTAGGGGGTTATGGTGGGAAATACTCCAGCTGCCGTTGCCGCATTCCCTCGACTTTGTACTTTCTTACATAATTGGCAAAAAACTGACTACAACGAAGCCAAAACTAACGACTATTTTGGGGACAAACCACGTAGATTCAACAAGAAAGCACATCCAAAACTTGTAACTAATTGGGTGATAGTTGTGGTAAATGATGATGAGTACATTATTGACGAACAAGTACTGTTTTTCAAGAGATTGTGCTGTATTTAATCTGGTTTGAAATAGGACACGAATTTTTGTAATCACCTAATGGGGAGAATCTTGTGGTAAAATCGTTGACGATATTGTTTCGACGGTGCGATTTCATCATATCGTATTTTACACACTTCTAAGCTGTATGCCGCCGTGGCATTTTGTGTGCTCTATGGTATGTGAAACCCACGGACACACCAGCCAGATTGCGTGACCACAGTGGAAGGAAATGGTTGTATTTTTATATTGTGAAAGCATTCTAATTTAATTAAAATGGTCATGGTTGTCGTCTGTTATTAAAATGTCTTTTGTCTTCTCATCACCTAACTCTCACATCTTGGAGTAATTTTATAGTGTAAATTGAAAGTTGATCTATTTGTGGATCCCATATTCTTTGTTAAACATCACAGCTTGTCATGCAAGATATGAGGATTAAACATGAAATGTGTCGTCACAGTGTCGAATTAATTGAACGGCTTAAAATATATTATAGATACCCGTGTAGGATGCGACGCATTATTGTCCATCTGACTACGTCGATTGTGGGCGGTTGGATGCCTAGACGGACTAAGCCAAGGTGCTCTGTCCTTGTGGTAAAAGTGTACTTTGGTTAGAGCTTCAGGTGTAGTTTGACAGTCATCAATTAGGGCAGTTAAGCCAATGAAACTAAATCAATCCATATGTAATCCGACAGACATGTTTTATCGCCCCAAATGCGCAGTCTACAAGTAGGGATATCACTTGTTCAACGTTTTACTCATGCGGCACTCTGAACAGGGTATCGGAAGAGAGACCCTGTTGAGTCTGAAATTGAGTCAGGCATCGCTGGTTTGTACGTAGGTTTTCCGAACCCCTTTGGGCTGAGTCTCTGCCAAAATTTTACATTCTGCCGTGCTTGATTAATCCTACGAGTGTACCTCAATGGACCAGTTTCTTGTCTAAGTGTATAGATTCATCAAATAATAGTCGTGTTGGAACAATTTACAATGCACGTCACACTTATGAATGTCGTTTTACTCATCAGAAGGAAATGTCTATTGTGACAATGCCCATATCAACTACGCAGTTGAGCATCTTAGTCTGAAAGGATTAAGGACTTATCCGCAGTTCGATTTGGGAGTTGACTGGACAGTTAAAATAACTATAATTGGTGCTTGTGGCGCATGTGTCTGTTTGCATGGAAGTTAGAATCCTAGACGCTTGCCATGACTAACGTGCGGAGTTATCTCACACCAATTGCTCCTGAATTCATAATGCTGTGCTTCCTGAGCGGAAACTGACAGACGGTGCCACAGGCCGAATTCAAGGCGTGTTGGGGTGGAAATAAACACGCCCAATCCCATGTGATGGGTCTTTCAGATGAAGCGGTTGGGGTGGGTGGGTGTGTATGTGTGCGTTTGTGCAAAAGGTGTTCGCGCTTGACTGCTGGTCTTTTCTTTACCTACCGCCCGTCGTCGTCGTGCAGGCGCAGCCGGAAGGTGAAGGCGGACTCTCGGAGGCCCCGGTTTCGCTGGACGGTTCGCAGTACATGAACGAGTTCTTCGCCCAGGTCGAGGAGATTCGCAAGTTCATTGAACGCATACAATTCCTGGTGGAAGATGTGAAGAACAAACACGGTGACATCCTCTCCTCACCGAACCAGGATGAGAGTAAGTGCCTTGGCTTGATTGCCACCTGGTTTTCGTACAATACCCTCTTTATATTACAATTTTCAGATGCTTTTTGGCGTCATTCCAAACTCCAAACGGTACCTGAGAGGTAGACGCGCCAAGCACACAAAGATCAGACTCAGGTATCGAGTAACTGGGATCTGAAATTAGTGGGCATTCGTGGGAGTCGTAGTTTAACCTAACTTATGACAAATGTCAAATGCTAACACGTTCAAGCAAAGTCCTTCCGCCGACACTATTGCTGCTTGTCCATTTTTTGGGCCTATCAGCTATACAACGGCCCCTCACACAGAATAGGTTTTCAGAATTCAACAGAACTAATCGGATTGTGAGGTCCACTGCCTCGTTTTATAAATTTAAACTGCCATTTAACTAGGAAGCATATATTCTACGAAGTAGGCCTTTAATCTATAGACCATCTATTTAGTGCGTCGAAGTTGTTAGGTTGCGCTGTCGATTAGTCTTCTCCATGGCTGCTTGCACTGTACAGTAACCATACCATCTAGACACTTTCGAGACTCGTTATGCTTTCACCTACGTTTAAGATGAAGTTAGAACTGTGTTGGGTGCCCACGTGGTCGGCAACGGTGGATTCCGCTGTTGTAGAAAGGCACTGCAAAACGTTAGGTGTGATTTAGGCCTTTCGGGACTTGATCGACACATCTGTTAACTGGGCGAATCCTCGTGGTCACCTATTTTTGGTCAGTGGGTGCTCGCATTAATTATGGGTCTCTTTTCGCAACCCCGCACATCTCTCGCAGTCGCAAATCACGCCATTGTTGTTTTTTTTGTTACTAAAAATTATAGAGACAAAGGCGCAGCTGGAGGAGGCGATGGCCGAAATCAAGATGCTCGCCCACAAAGTTCGAGCAAAGCTAAAACGTACGTTGTGTTTATTTCACTTCAAATCAACCAATCCTAATTTAGAAATGGAAATGAATATTGAATATGACGAAAACGCAGACAAGTCATCAGCGGATTTGAGAATACGGAAAACGCAGGTGTGTGTGTGTGTGTTAATCTCTGTAACGACCTTGTTTTATAAACGCGAATGCCTTTATCAACCCTGGCTGGGCTTTCTTTTCAAAACGACACTGCCTGCTATGCTCTTAGTCTGACTTCTAGCTAGGTTGGCTTTGTCTCGTCACGGAATGAATTATTAAGTGACCCAGCTGCAAAAGTTACCAGGCTGGACACAGTTCGAGCACAGCGTGGCGTGCCTTATCCTCCTTAATAGAGCTAACGGGAATCATCGCGTGCTCCGACAATGTTCGAATACAACCTTCGTGGTGTCACTGGGTCTGGATTCTGATTAACTGGCGTACAATACGCCTTCTAGTTTAACTTTGCGAGGCAATTTTTAATGGGCCATTTTCGCGAGATCAACGCCATTGCACATGCCTGATTTTTTCCAATAACCCATGTTCAACGATCAAATTCGCATATTTTCTGTGATTTACTCAATCATACTGTAGCACAATTCCTGTTTTTTATTCGTACGCGCGCATCTGATGCTTACAAACTGACATATCAATGGGCAGGACTTTTGAAGCCCTTTGGAGTGATCTCTCACTATCGTCAGAGCACATTAGTTCATTTGTCTTACTGAGACGATTGACCTACTAAAGGCGACTAACTGTCCTCGATTTGACCCCAAGAGGTTCTCTTTGACGAAATAGCTGGTTTGAACTTCTATGCGTATAGTTGCGAGGAAAAGTTGGAGGAACAGTTCGTCACACGAATTCCGACCCATGGTGCATGTCCCATGAATCGGCTACTTGGGTGGTGTCGTATCTTTCCTAAACGCCACAAGCGCTTAAGGACACGGTTGATCTGAACATCGGCAAAAACAATGCCTGAGATGTTGCAAGAGCGACGTAAATGTGTTACTTTGATCCTCTTTCGGAGTTCGTCTGCCATTTCTGGCCCTGTGTAGTCACACGGCGAAAAAATACGAGCATTGGGCAAAAAATTGCCTTTAAACTCCTGTGTGTGGTGCAATTTTTACATAATCAGCATCATCTGTCGTCTGAACCGACCTAACCACACTGTAACCGCCCGCACTCTCTGGTAGTCAACCCTTTATGGACGAACTTCTGTTCGCTGTGCTCGATCTTAAACGCTCTCCCGCGAACGGAGGTCTTGGGGCATTTTAAAAGCAGGCCTGTGCTTGTAGCATAAACGTTGACCTTCCAGATGGCCTGTACATTTTCACGCCAGTGTTCAACACTTTCACATGCAAGTCGTTCTGTTGTTGACACGTGGTTTTGCTATTAACAATCGGTTTCTTAACGAACCTTTATTGGGACAAGGCATTTGGGTGCGACATGTGGATAAGAGAACTCGGAAAGTTGGTGTGACTGCTCTTCTTTCTCACCGTCTAGATTTTGGGGTGAAGAAGGGCAACATACCCAAGACACTTCTTGAATACTGGTGACACTAAGTGATCTTATCGTAAGGCCCAATTTCGCCCCCACTTAGTGAGGACCCACTTGCCTTAGCTACAAGTCACCCTTACCACTCGAAACTTTCCTTCATTAAAAGTACTCATTCTTTCTGTTGGGGGGATCTTATAACCCGTCTTCTGTATTAAGCATTTCCGTGATCTCAAGCATTACACAGACCTTATTTTGATCGGTATTAGTGCATTCACACGCCCCCTGCATTATTGTAACCGTTCAGTTTTCCCCGGCTGAGCATAATCCACCATGGAGCCACTAGTACCTTCTCATGGCGTAGGCAGATCGTCTGTGATAAGTAGCCGTTTATCAAAGTTTTGCACACTGGTTTGCAACATGATCTAATTCAAATTCCAATTTAGGGAGAAACAGTCTGGGTCGACTAGTGTCAAATTAGTTTCACGTTTGTTCTAGTTATGCGCCTGTGTGTCAATTAATTTCGCGAAACGCGTTTTAGAAGTCATGCGAGTCACGTTTTTGCCGTCAAAATTTGTTTCTACATTCTTGCGCAAACTTTTGCCACATTTTGCTTATTTCGGTTGCATTTTAGCACCACCTTAAATCGACTGTTTCTCCAGCTCTCCTTGGATTTGTGTTGTCGTGTTGAAGTAAATAATGTCTTCCATGGAAACCAGAGCGGTCGCCAGATTGGTGGCACGCCAGTAAACACTCGAGGCAACCGGCCTTTGTGGTCAAATTTTGCGTACCTCAGTAGCCTTGCTGACTGACTGATTGTCTTGGATTGTGCCCAGCAAGTCGGCCCCACAAGGCTTCAGGCTTCGGTTTGTAACTCAAGCGACGTCTTTTTGTGTCCTCTTTTTAGTACTCCACAATTTCCCGTAACTTCATCGAAGTAATGACAGACTACAATAAAGCCCAGGTTGCCTTCCGAGATGCCTGCAAGAACCGGATTAAACGTCAAATGGAAATCGGTAATTTCTTGTCCGTGCCAGTTGTTTTTGGCCTACATCAATATGATAGCGTTGCGATCAAATAAACTAACTGGTCACTTGCATTCGGCACTTCTCGATGTAGACCTCCGGGGTTTTTTATGAAAGGTGATTACGTTATTTGGAGGAGGAGGTGGGACCCATGAAATTTACAGGTTATTAAGCCTTCAGTAATCCTGCTTGAGTTGTGCTGCATGTGGACGACGTGAGCCGTGGCCAGGAGTTAAGGGTAGTATTCTCCACTCTAACCCACGCATTTCTGCTTCGATCGTACCTCGTCACGATTAAGGCCTCGAATACATGTCCTTAGTTGCTCCTGTCCCCTTTCCACATTCATCTTGATGCTTCCTCACCACTTACTACCTGCTTCAAACACTTCCAGGTCAAATTTGTCAACTGTAGGCCTGTTAAATTTATTGGATTGAAGCTTACGCTGTCTGGAATCGACGCGCAATCATTTTGGAGGCTGAGTCCTCGTAACCTCCACTGTCACTTGAGTGATCTCAATTCGCTGGATCAATTACATCCACGTTTATGCTCAAACCGGGGTTCGGTTCGAATATGCTGAACGCCACCGTACAGTGGATGAGTCACTTGTGTCACGATCTCTCCTGCAGCTCAGTTAATATTACGACTATCGCTTTTAAGATAAACCCATTTTGAGACTGCTTGAGGCGACATGGATTTTAATTTCGTCAATAGCATCAACATATCGGACATCCTGCTTATTGTGTATAACTGTAACATTTCAATCCGACGGTTAATATTTTAACTAATAACCTAACTGTGCTCTCATTTATTTCAGCCGAAAGAAAAATAACCAACGAGGAGCTCGAGGATATGCTCGAATCCGGAAATCCCGCAATATTCACTCAAGAGGTAAGGTTGAATTTAGCTACGAGCAGCCACCACTAACCACGCCTGCGACAGTATGTCGGTAGGGCACTTGGTTCTCGTCTGCTTGCGTGGCTTAGCTGTCCAGGTCACACTTTTGTGCGATCTACAAGCATTGTAAAAGGCCCCCTTGACCAGGTAGAAGCATCGGCTGTTATTGGTGGTTTTACTTTATTGTCGGTCGTAAGACTTTGCATTTCCTGTCTCCTCTCCATATTTATTTCTTAGTTATCGAAGCTTATTACTAGTCAGAGTTTCATTTGAGTAGTTTTGAAACATCGGCAGTGGGTATTCGGTGAAGGGCAAAGGGTCACTAAGACAACGATTGCAAGGTAATCTACCTCCGTCAACTGTGGGTCGTTTTGTCTCCGCTCAATCTCACCCCGTCAGTCGCAGTCGTTTCGAAATCTGTCCTCGCCGATTTTGAAAGGAACCAATAAAAGGTGGTTAAAGTGCTGCCTCGTGGAATAAGGCCTCGAACTCATTGAAGTCGATCCCGAATCCACACTCCCCTGACGATGCCAAATCCATTGTAGCCGTATTATTCGAGTCTCTTGTTCTTGACGTAGATGCATTCGGTGGTGCACTAACCCTTGCAACGTGGTCGCGTTCCTTCACCTATTGAAATTACTTCTGCACAGTGGCGGCCCTGTGCCCTGTTATACACTCCTCTCCAGTTCACTTATTCGAAAGTTGTCACTCCAGTTCATCATCCGTTTCTGTGTCACCTCCTAACTTTGAAGAAGCAGCTTTGTTGGAAGTGCTAACCAATGTGCAGTGGCTTCTTTTGGCTGCGTGTAACTTAGGTCGAGTGTTGAAGGTGTCTGCCTGTCATTCCGTTGTTTCATCCCCGAATCCAAAAGTTCCTGTGTTTTTATGGTTTTGATTGTATACACCACATAATGTGTTACATCTTGAGGCCAAAAAATTTGCTCTCTGGGTCCGTCTTTCGCCTGCGTAAAGGTCGTGCCTTTGTCGTTTCGTATAACTTGGTAACAATCATGCGTGCACGATACCCTGTATTATAACCACACAAACTAGATTTTTAAATGGCAGGTGATTTGATTTTTACGAATTTAGGTATGCGTTAGTGAAATATCTTTCAAACCACGTTAATGTGTAAGCGCTCCGAAGACCACGTATATTGTGCGGGTCATTGACAGCCAAGCGTAAAGCTCTTTTTTTCTGCTCATGAAACAGAAACTCAAAATTTTCACCGGATTGTTTTTGCTGTCACTGGGTTTACGTAAATCCTAAGTGGGACAGCGGTTTTGAAGGCTGAGTCCCGTTTGATCGAAGATTTGGGGCCTAGTAAGCACTTTACCATTTTCGTTTGACTGTTCAAAAACACTTGTCACAGAGGTTGGTGATTTACCCAATGGATTTTTTCGCGAATGCACACCCCTATGTGGCCACTCCTGCCTCCCCTCGGATTGCCCACATTCATGTTTGTCGGTTCGTTGCGCGGTTGCCCGTAGTGTAACGCACACAGATAGAACTTGGTTGAATTGCGAAAATGCACTCATTTCTACAAGCAGTTCGAGTAGTTGTTATAACATCACGCTCCGAAAGTAATTTTCGACGGTACGGTGAAACCAAAGAGTTCTCCCATTCGTTGTTAACAAACGAAGACTTAGCGACTGCGAAATGCCCCTTCGATGTGGCCAACATTATTTCAAACCATTTTTTTTCTCGAGCTATGTGTGTTTATCGACTTTGCACGTGGGACGAGAAGGCAGCAATGCTTGTCATTGCTGTTGTCGCTTTGTGCAAAAAGACTAATGACTAACCAAGTAAACGTACATAGTGGGATATCATTAGGTGTCGATGCCGTAATATTTTAAGACCGGAATTGGAGTATCGCGTGGTATGGTGGTGCAGGTGCAGTTGCTAATTCCTTGGCGGCTTCCTACAAGCTGCTAAGTCATAACGTAGATCTCTGCTTTATGAAGCCTCCCCCCAGCACAAGCTATCCACACTGGACGGAGGATTCGCCGATTACCAGAGTAGCGCCGAATGTCATGAAAAGATGGCATTTAAGCAACCACCAGCGTTGCAACATAATTGCCCGATGGAACCCCACGTGAAGTCTGTGTGACGTCACAATGAAGTAAACTAAGGGAATTGGAAAGGCCGCAGTGACCCGCTGTTCTGTTACTGACGTGTCAGGAGGCAGGTCACACCGTGGGTCACATGGAGACGTAATTTCTTACTTGAAGCTGTCGCACACGCTTGTTGTAAGCCTGTGTGGTGTTTGCTGCAAGTTCCGGGCGAATGCGTGCTTCCTCCATGTTAATTGTTTTCTCGCTTTTTAGATTATGACGGACACACAGCAAGCCAAGCAGTCGCTAGCAGATATTGAGGCCCGACACGAGGACATTATCAAACTTGAGAAGAGCATCAAAGAGCTGCACGACATGTTTATGGACATGGCGATGCTCGTGGAGAGCCAGGTTAGTTTCACTCAAGCCAGCTCTCCGTTGTGCTGATTCGAAGCCGGATAATTGACCTTATTTTGGCCGGTAGCGTCGCGACTCGCTTTGAACCTTGCCACATTCTCAGGCACAGAAGAGGACCACGCCATCGGTCCCTGGATGTGCCGGTGCGGTAGTTGGCGTCTGTCAAGTCGTCTTCTTAGGTCAACGGCAAATCGAATCCCCTGGAAGACGGTCATGAGTTTGACTTGCACCAGACGGCAAATGCTTACGTTAAAGAATGTGCGTTGCCGATGAGAGATTCGGTGTATCCATTAAACGCTTCCTTTGTTGGTGTTTTTAAGGCGAAAATATTGTTGCTTTGGTTATTGTCACACCCTAAACACACGGCTCCCCCCCTATTTATTCATTACTTGCCATCCTTAGCGCTCTGTTGTGACGCTTTTTAGGGTGAAATGATCGACAGGATCGAGTTTAACGTCGACCAGGCCGTAGATTACATCGAGACAGCGAAGGCAGACACTAAAAAGGCCGTGAAATACCAAAGCGCTGCGCGAAAGGTACCTCACTATTCTGGCCGTTGTTTGTTTTGTGCTTGCTGCTGTGTTGTCCTGACGACCGCATGTTGTAACTCTGTTGTCTCCCTCTATGTCAAATACACTTGTTGTCGTATTGAATCGTCCGTCTCAAGAGCCCGGGGTGCTATTTTGATTTTGCGATGCACACGTTGGTATCATGTATTCTGCCTTATTTGAGGCAATTCATTAGGGAAATTGTTTTATTGTTAGCGAATTCAGCGTTCGACAGCGATGCAAATCTGTCGTTTAATTACCCTAATTCGGTTTCGAAGTTGGGTCTGTTAGCACTTTCAAAGAACTGTTGTTGCATCAGACTACTGCGATCTCATCATGATGGTTTTTTTGCAAAATAAGACATTCCAGGGCACTTTTAAGATGAGTGGTTGCGTTATCAAGATTTCTTTAACTGTGTTCATGTGCACGTTATGATGTTCGATGACAAGACAGCGGAATTGAATCACTTTCTCAAAATTAAGCAAAAGACGAGCTGAATTATCCAAAAATCTTGGTTCAGTCAAAATCTGAAATTTGTTAACTATATTCATTTCAAGCTTCACAGTGTGCTTCGTTGAAATCGCTTCTCGTGATACCAGGTCTTTTGTCTATGTTCAAATTTCAACATCCCCCAAGAATGAAGGCGTGATGTGGCGACCGATTGGTTGAAGTATCGCACCCACCCACCCATGCAATTATTTCATGCAAATGGTGCAGTGAGCTGCAAAATTTTGACGCGCTTTTGCTTGATTGACTACTGGACGAATAACAGCAGGTATTCTGCCTCCATGCCCTATTTATAACCAATTAAAAGTGACAGATCTGGTGCCCCAGCATTCTCTTCGCTTAGGTGGTCAGTTTGCAGTCGTGATTGATTGGACAGATCTAACGTGTATTCCAGAAGTCTAAATATTCTGCTTTGCATCTTGGTGTCATACGGTCAAATTCGCAGTCATTTTTGTTGATTACCTGGCCTATCTAAACTCCACCGAGGATTATTCGAAATGTGTCCTGTCAAATGCACTTGAAAGTCAATCGTGAGACCACGTTTCAAAGAACACGAACATTCGATGCTGCTTTAGTCGCGGGTCTTGACCTGTGAGGGTCTATTTGCAGGCCGTTGACCACCGCTGTTGGAATCCAACAGTGTCCTTGTGACGTTATTAACCTCTGTTCAGTCACTTAGTTGCTAAACGAGCAGTCTTCGTGGCTATGCTCCAACTAATCAGCCAGATGTCAGTTGCTCATAGGCAGTCAAAAGGGAACCTTTTGCTATCTATTGTACAGAAAACCCCACAAATTAACGCCAAAATTTCTCTTCCTGCTTGGAACAGTCACCTTCTGACCAGAAGTTTGCCGACCTTATCGTGGAAATAGTTATACTGACGTAGTAAACCAGTTAAATTTCAATTATTTCTAAAAGCTCCACGTATTTTCATTTCATTGCAGACTAACTTTTCCTGTGGCCACCTTAAACGAAGTGCTCAGAAGCATTGTGATCTGTAGCCTGAGGGATCGAGCATTCCGGCGTGGTTTATGGGAGGTGAAATCGTTGAGGTCATTTGTCAAGGTGGCCTTTTAACAACCTGATTGTACATTTGATTCAGCATTTCAAGCGAAGAGGAAAGGGCTCAAATATTTGCATATTTAAGCCATGCTAGTGTGTGCGTAAAAAGTTACCGACGGAGTGCGACGGCGTCCCACTCTTACGTGCAATCAAACTGCCTGGATGCAGAGGACGCGCATTCGACATAAGGGGGAGCCCTAAGCATTTGGTGCTGCATCGGGACCTGTTTCAGTTTTTAAGGTTGTCAATTGGATGTCAGGCGCAGCGTCCGAACTGCCCTTCGAATCCACAAAATTGGTGACAAAGTGACCATTTTAGTACCACGTTAACTGACTGTACACTAAAGTGCGAGTGCACGAATACGTCGTCACAAACGCGGTCGCAAGGCGGAACTGTGCCTTGTAGTTGTAAGTAATCGCATATACGATTTTGGAATGTTGGTTAAACATAAAAAATGGGAGTTTTTTTCGTCCTCAAATGTGAGCGAATAATTGATTAAGCTGTTGTAAGCACACCTGCGTTAACATCGCTAACACCAGCCGCTGTTGGCGGTACAACACGTCCCAATTTTCGCGTTTTTCTGAAACTGAAATCAGTCGAGATTTCCCCTCCCATAGTTTTATATAATAAAAGAAATTAAGACGCGACTTTACCTATCACTTCGTGTGTAAAGCCAAGGTAAACGAGTTGCTGATGCAACCTGGCGTATCAAATCTTCAAATCTAATCCTCATTCTCAACACGCATTCAATTAGTGTTACACAAACTAGCAATGCAGTGATTTTTGTAACTAAAAATGCGATCGAATTTCCGAGTTTCCATGGGAGACGATATACAAATTCAAACACCTGTTGATCGCTCCTGATCTTGATCAGACAATGCACTCTAAAATTTACTTAAAAGAACACCATATGAAAATGTGAGTACTAATAGACTTGATTTAGCCCACTTTGTGGCTCAATGCGTATCTTTAAATTCCTATGGATTTTCGGAACGTGGTACTGGATAGTAGAATCGGGTGGTTCGTTTATAATCGGTTATGAAATGAAGATGTCCAAAGACCCTTCTGAGAGCCAGGGACAATCATGTTTTTACTTTACACTGAAACTCCAGATCGAATTAATTTGGATGGCGGTCAGTGCTGATTTCGCACAGTGGAACTTAAAATCTCAACTAATCAAAACGCTCCATATCCACACGAAATCACTGCTTTACATTCACCTTAACTATCTCTCGCTGATGGATTTTATGAATAACTGAAGAAAACTCAAAACTTCAAATGGAAACTCGGCTTGTGCGTTGCGTACATCGACCTAAGTATATGGATGTGATCTATAGTATTCTGCGGATTGGAACTACTTTCCACCGCAGTATTTGAGATAAACAGCATGACTGGCCTGAAGCGAAGTATGGTGTAATGTAATTGCTTACAACAGCTTAATCAATTATTGTTCACATTCGAGGACGAATAACACTCCTATTTAACTCAAGACTAAGTATTTGCAGCTGCTCAAATATGGCATGTAAAGAGTTTAGCCGTAGGTCCAGGTTAAAAATATTTGGAAATTTACTCTAAGCTGGATGATGTCTTCAAATAAGCAATCGGCACTTTGTTTTTCCAAAGGAGCGCGAACGGTGCCTTAGCGACTGGTCGCTGGTGGCATATTTCGTGTCGGCGGTAATAGATCTGTTCCCAGATGTGAGCTGTCAAGTCGGTGTGTTTTCGCAGAAGTTGCAGCACGGTAGTCCGAAAATGGGTCAGTGAGCTCACAGGCAGCTCCTCTTAATTCCACATACACAATCTTGTTTATCAAGTGTCTCTACAATTTGCCACTTGAGAGAAGAACAGGACCAATATTGAATTTCAAGTAAGATATTGGAGGATGACTAATTAACAAAACTCGGGATTGTGATTTGGCGTCCGGTGATCCGAGGTTGTGGGTGTCAGAGGCGTCTTGATTTGCCGGTGACAAGCAGTTCGTGCTGTGCCTAGAATAGGTTATATTTATGACACTCGCCTCTCCCTTTAACCTCACAACTACTTGATTTCGTGCGATAATTGAGAGTAAGGCTGAGGCTGGTGTGTGGGAAGCCAGACACGGCGCAACGTTGTCCGCATTGGAGGTGACTACAGCGGCTAAAAATACCTTCGTGTCTTGCGGGGGTGGGGTGGACATCAACTTACTATCAGAGCGCATCCCACTTCGACGAATGGGATCACGTCAACGGACTAGCGGCTGCCTCTAGCCCACCGTGGTACTCTCTCAGATTGATGTAGGACCTCCTGTCCGTTATGGTGCCGCCTGCATTGTTGCATGCCACATTGATTATTCGCCAATCAAGACAAGTCCATCACTGGATAAAAGAAACACTCCAAGTTAGAGCGTCTTATCTGTTCAAAATATGATCAACCGTTCGGCGGACAGAAAGACACGTGTGTTTCACGTTGTTTCACTATGCAACAGATTTGAACAGTGGCTTAAGAGTGCTGCGGACAATGGTACTCAAGTAGATCCAATTAACCAAACAAATTACTCTAACTCTTTCGTGGTCTTCTTTGGTGCTTTTTCTTACTAGATTGTCTCGAGCAGACGCAGCTGTTTGTCTCGTGAAGGCCATATCTCTTCGCTTTCTATACACAGTTACGCAGCAGTATTTTCTCATGTGTCGCAGCAACTGCCCAAGAGGGCTGCTTAATCAGATTGGTTGACAGCTTCTTAGCTCCTCAGAATCAGTCTTGATGCAGCACAAAATTTTGTTGAACCTAAAAGACGCGTCATTCTAACAGTAGTCTGCAGTGTTTAAGGTGTCCCAAACACAAAGTTCGGTCTGGCAAAATGTTAAATCTAGGAAGTGTTCTAGCCTTGCTATTTTGTATTTTCGGAGTTTTAAGATATATTTCGTGTCTTGGGGCTGGTGTATCAAAAATGCAGCCAATTAAACATCCAGTCGGTGTCCTGTTGGAATTAAGTTGCCCAATTTAGTACCTCCCTTGAATCCAAAGAAGTAAATTTAACGCTAATTGCAACAAATTTTTTCGTGTCTGGTGATTTCGTAACGCTGAGTCGATCCAGTCACACGGCTACGGCTAAATAATTACCTCTCCATACACACATGGTCGCTTGGACTGGCTACCCCTTTTCGGTAATGGCACCGGGGCAATGGTAGCGGCATGGGCGACGGCTCGCGACTGAAAGAGAGCTTAGAGTTTTGGGGCGAAATCAATTCCTCCCCACTGAGTGACACGCGTGCACGCGCACGGGTGCGCACCTGCCACCCAGAGCGTGGGGTGAGTCGCACATGGCTGGAGAATTAATTTGCGCGCAGTCAACTTTTGTACGCGCTCACGCGCTTCGACCTCGAGCGAGGCGTGCCAACGGGCCAGAGCTGAACCCATTGGCCAGGCGAGCTGCTATTGCAGCCCTGAGTAGTAGTGGTAGTTCGTCCTATTTTTTTAGTTGGATGCTGCGGTGATTGGCAAAAAGACAGGTGCTTTTATAAACACTATGCTACCATGACAAACAGGCATCTAATAGTAATTTAAAGTCACTAAAAGCAAAAGAAAAACCAGTATTTTTAAGACTTCAATGACCCTTTCCAAGGCCACAATAAGTCTT